CATTCCCAGGCGCCTTGTGGTACCAGTTGGGTGGGTGCCAATATGATGAGTAAGTACCTGGCGGTGAGATGGGACAGAAAAAGAGGCAGAATGGTTCTGAAGAAGTGAGAGCGGTGAGGAATGGGAGGATGTTAGTGTCCTGCTTGCCACCCAGGACCATGGTGACATCTGGGCCTGGGCTGCTGCCTACTGTCATGTTGGGAACCATGACAGCCGGGGTCTGTGACAGCTGGGATCTGTGTTAATATCCATGGCCCATGTTGCCACCAAAGGTCATGCACTGGGATGCCTGGGGTGTGGGCTGCCACCTGTGGGCATTTTAGTGTTCAAGGGCTGTGCCACTGAGGCCATGTTGATCTGAGTCACCAGCACTGCCACTGGGAGACATGATGACATTCGGGCCTGTGCTGCTGTGGGGGGGCATGTCCTGGTCCATGGCCCTGAGCAGCCAGGGTCTGTGTTGATGTTCATGGCTTTAATAACTGGTCAAGCACCTGAGTTCATGAGTTCATGCTGGTGTCCGAAGGCCACTAATCTGGGGTCAAGGTGACATCCGAGCCTGGGCTGTAGCACAGGGTCATTTCTAGGTCCATGGACCTACAGCAGCCAGGGTCTGGGCTGATGTGTATGGTTCATGTTATCACAGGGATTCATAGGAATCATAGGAATCATGCGTATTGAAATCCATGGGCCATGCTGAGCCAGCCCTGCCCTAGGGATAGCTGACTCTGCCCTTTGCTGTATTTTAGGTATGAGCCTTCTGTCTGCACATATGCCTGTATGCCAGAAGAGGGCATCAGATCCTATTATAGATGGTTGTGAGATACCATTTAGGTGCTGGGAATTGAACTCAGGACCTCTGCAAAAGCAGCCTGTGTTCTTAACTGCTGAGCCATTTCTCCAGCTCCCTGAGCTGAGGTTTCTTTTCTTTCCTCCTCCTCCTCCTCCTCCTCCTCCTCCTCCTCCTCCTCCTCTTCCCTTCTTCTTCTTCTTTTTGGTTTTTCGAGACAGGGTTTCTCTGTGGCTTTGGAGGCTGTCCTGGAACTATCTCTTGTAGACCAGGCTGGTCTCGAACTCACAGAGATCCTCCTGCCTCTGCCTCCCGAGTGCTGGGATTAATGGCGTGCACCACCAACGCCCGGCTAGCTGAGGTTTCTTATCACAAACCTGAGTTGGCCCCACTGCTTCTCTTATCTCATGACTTTCGGGGATTTTTACCTTTGCTTTAGTAAATTTTTTTTTCCATAATGTACAATGTTAGTAAGAGAAACCCCCCTCCCCGAAAGTATTCTTCTCTCATATAAGATATGTTTTGGCTAGGTATACAATTTCATATTTCAAGTTATTTTTTCTCTAAACATTTTTAAGGGTATTGTTGTAAATTGACAATTTGTGCTGGACATGAAAAGCTTGTTGTCATTTCAAAATCCCTTTCCGTATCTTTGAATTAAGACGTTCTACCAGAATTAAGAAATAAATATGTGAAAGATGAGTGCTAATCTCAAATAGTTCTTTCAGATTTGAGTTCATCTTAAGGGTCTTTCTCTGGTGAACTGAGAGGACAGGCGTGAGCAGCCACAACCAACTCATCCCTCAACTCATCCCTGCTTTTACACTGTTTATAATCGACATTAAATTTTATGTCTTTCTTTAGTCTGCTTTCTACCACACAGCTCTAATTTCCCATTTCCAGCAGTTAGTGCAGTCTTTTAAAATACACAAGCTGCCTGTAAAATGAAGGCATTTCAAGGTGGGGCACCGCTGTGTTAAAACTCAATACCGTGGCACGGAATGGCTGACGCAAGATTGCTTGGTAGTGCTATCTTGACTGAGGAAAAGCTCATTTCTTGGTGAATTTTACGCGTTGGGGGAAGATCCCTGGCTGAAAACTCACTCTTGCCTACCTATATGGAGCCACCGGTGTACGAGAGTGTGTCCCCAGGCTTGCAGGCTGCGCCCTCCTCAAAACTCCTTCTTGTAGGCTAGGAGTATGGACCACCCGCAGAGCGTAGTAGGTCCCGGGCGATCCGCAGCTGGGGTACGGCCGATCCTAACCCCGCAATACATCTGTAGAATCAGAGACTCTGGGACCCGGCCTCCTGCTCAGTGTTTGACGTTTTCCTGGCAGGACCAGACTTCGGAGCATCCATTGTCACAGCTCCAAGTTTGAGCGGGTCTCCCTTTCGCAACGCGCGCATTCGCGCTTGCGCAGTCTTCTAACCCGGGAGCCTTCCGCGTCCGGTTGCCATAGAGACCACAGTTTTCTTTCTGAGCCAGGATCTCCAGTTGGGGTAAGGAGGCCCCCACCTTAGATTGTGTTCTTGGAGGCACTGTGGTAAGTGAACCCCGATCCACCTCACTGATCCCTTCTTCCTACTCACAGCCATTTGTTTTTTGGGATCAGCCATCAGCCCTGATTTAGGTCCGCTCTCTGAGACTACTCACATTTGTCCAAAGCTGTATTTCAGGAAGCCACGCTGAGACAGACTCGGGAGAGGTGACACTCACTGGATTGGGAAGCTCAGGAGTGCCTAAGGGGACTGCATGGGCCCCGGTGCTCAGCCTAGTCAAGATCGGACTCCTTGGTTGTGAAGGTTGAGGCCCCTAGGATAGGTGCTGAGTGAGCCCCTCAGAGTTCAGCTTTGTGTAGGGAAGGCAGATATGACGGTTGTTCAGAGGCAGGGACCACATTTTCTTCTTTCCATGACCCTCGGACTCCACCAGCTGACTTCTCCTACGTTCCCCTTTTTTGTAACATAGTCACAATGTCCAGATGTTGGCTTACAGATGTCACTCCTGTTTGTTCCTTTGAGAACATGTCTGGGTTCATGTATTGGGAAGAACACTGCTTGTCATTTTTTAAAATTTAAATTAGAAACAAGCTTCATTTACTTGTCAATCCCAGTTCCCTCACCCTCCCCTCTTCCCCTGCCCCTCACCAACCCCCATCCCATCCCTTTTCTGTTCCCTAGGGAGGGCAAGGCCTTCCATGGGGGATCTTTAACGTCTGTCAAATCATTTGGAACAGGGCCTAGATCCACCCCCGGAACACTGCTTGTCTTACTTTCTATCTTTGTGATGAAACACCATGACCAAAAAGCAAGTTGTGGAGGAAAGAGTTTATATTTATTTGGTTTACACTTCCATATAGCTGTTCATCCTCAAAAGGAGTCAGGACAGGAACTCGAACAGGCAGAAACCTGGAGGCAGGAGCAGAGGCAGAGGCCATGGAAGGGTGCTGCTTACTGACTTGCTTCCCATGGCCTGTGCAGCCTGCTTGCTTAGGGGACCCAGGACCACCAACCCAGGGATTGTACCACCCAACATGGGCTGGGCCCTCCCCAAATCAATCACTGATTAAGAAAATGTTCTACAGCTGGAATTTATGGGCGGCATTATCTCAATTGCAGTTCTCCCTTTTCAGATAACTGTAGCTTGTGGCAAGTTGACATAAGACTAGCCAGTACACTGATCTGTGATTCAGCAACTCTTTGTTCTCTAAAAGACACACAGGAGAATATTAATAGCATTCTTGTGATAGTCCTAAGTGAGAAGAGGCCACACATTCATAAGTAATAGAAATAGGTTGATTTTTATGTAGTTGCCTGGCACATTACATTGCAGTGAGAATGGACCAGCTACATTATAAGCGGCCAGACCACTGTTACGAACATGATGTTAAATCAAAGGCACCAGATGCCAAAGAAAACACTGTGTATGCTTCAAAACCAAAGGAACTTATATGCAGCTCTAACTAAAGATCAAGTTGGTGGTCACCCTGTGTGTCTGGGAGTGGCAACTGGGGACTAGAAAGGTTTGGCATGTTGGTAACATTGATTTCTTGATCTGGGAGCTGGCTACACAGCATGCTTGGTTCAGATTATGATTGTGCATGTTTCAGTATGAGTGTCACAATCTGATGACGTTGCTTTCGTTTAATGCAAATAATCTGTGTTTGATCAGGACTCTGGAAATCTCAAATGGCCAAACTACTGCAGTCTCCACCCAAGTTCCTTCCTGAAGAGTGGTATATTGCTAACAAAAGCCAGTACCACAGAGCAGAGGCTCAAAGGTGCCGATCTGAACGCCTAGTGGCAGAGAGCCAGAGGCTTGTAGATGAAATCGAGAAGACCACCAGGAAGTCTCAGAGTGATGTGAACAAGAAACTTGGTAAGACAATGTTATTAGTGTGTTTGTGGCTGCATCCTGATGAGGTTATTGGGAGCTAGCTATAGTGTCATGTTTGGTGTGGCAGTGTGTCATTCTTGAAGTATGGGGGTGGACAGAACAGGTTCATTCTGCAAATTCTGTGTTTAAGACCAGTGCCATGAGACAGACACAATAACACCATCTGATTTTCAGCCATCTATCATTCATTCACCAATTTGACTCCCATTCATTGATAGCATGGCTGGACCATATATTGGGACCACCACAGGGGATGAGCAGAGTCTGTGCATCCATGAGTTCCCACCTTGAAAGAAGAAAGGTGTGAAAGTCATTGGTCAATATAGAGCCAGATAGGTCCTGAGTGCAGAGAGCTAAGCTGAGGGTGGGACAGGCACTGCAGAACCGGGGAAGTTCTTAGAGATTAACATTTGAGCTTCGTTTTACAGGAAGAACAATTCAATCTTAATAATTCCATGCTGAAACACAGCACTTGAAAAAATGATGATTTTGCCCGGCAGTGGTGGCACATGTCTTTAATCCCAACACTTGGGAGGCAGAGGCAGGTAGATCTTTGTGAGTTTGAGGCCAGCCTGGTCTACAGAGCTAGTTCCTGGATAGCCAGGGCTACATAGAGAAATCCTGACTTGAAACCCCCCCAAAATGGTGATTGTAAATAAACAAAACAAAATAAATCAGTAAATGTAAAATAAAATGGACATTGGTCAGCCAGATACTTGAAATGTACAAGCCAGAGGCTATCAATTTGGATGGTTAATGGGCAGGGAGGTAACAAAGGGGATGAAGGTAAAACAGGAGGGAGTGATGAGGACTTTCAAAGTCTGCATCTTAAATGTCACAGATTCATTGAGGAGTTTAAAATTAGCTGTTTACACCGGCATTACAAAAAAGTTAAGTTTAAGGCTAGCCTGGTCTACATAGTGAGTTCCAGGACAGCTAGGGCTGTACAGAGAGACCCTGTATTAAAAGAAAAGAACAACAACAATAAACAAACAAGCAAACAAACAAACAAGAACTATCAAGGGGATAAAAGCAGAAGGAAAGAACCGACTTTAGAAACTTGTCCTGTGATACCCACATGTATGCAGTGGCGCACGTGCCTGTATGCACACATCACCTGTACATGAAAATAACAGTGACACAAAACAAAATAAAATAAACCGAAGGCTTAGGGTATAGCTCAGTGATAGAATATGTTTGTCAGGCCCTAGGTTCTACCCCAGCACTGAAACATAACAAGATCTATGAAACGCCTCTGAGTAATGCCAGCAAGAGATGTGCAGAAGTTCTCCACCGAAAACTGCAGCCCATTACTGCAACAGTCAAAGAGGTCACAAAATAAATGCAGGATATGGAAATTAGTGCATAGGAAAATTCAGTATTTTAATTACCCCACAGGGCGACCACTACAAATTGACCTATAGCTTTAATACAATGCCAATTAAAAACACCCACCAGGCTTCCCGGCAAGCTGCTTCCAAAAAGGTACACCAGACTGATGTCTGTCCTTGCAGAGTTTCTGTCTGAAAGTCAAGATGAGTCAGGCACACAGAATCCTGGGATGGGGTTTGACCCATAGGGCACTGTCAGATTGGAGGAGGAACAAACCACTTTGACCTTATTTAGTGACACTCAACTTTCCAATCCGTGGAGCACTTAGTGTTCCTCCCTTTGGCCTTTCTCCAGGACGGGAAGCCATGCTGTGCCTCTCACTTGGTTCATTTGCTTTCTCTCTGGCTGTTTCTTCTCCTTCCTGATTGTTGATCCTTCTCTTTCCATTCATCTCTACTGGAGTTCCTCACTGTTTTTCTCTTGGCCCTCATAGTCTTTTCTCCTCTTCCCTCTCTTTCTTTTTTAAAGAGATTTATTCTTTTACTGTTATATGCATACATGTGTGTCTGAGCATACTATACTGTATAAAGTACACAGTGCACAAGAATCTCCAGAGGCCAGAGAGGGTATCAGATTCCCTGGATCTGGAGTAACAAACAGTTGGGAGTTACCATGTGGGTGCTGGGAACCAAACCCTTGGCTTCAAGCTCTTTTTTTTTTTTTTTTTCCTTTTCATGGATTTTTAAGACAGGGTTTCTCTGTGTAGCTTCTAGACCAGGCTGGCCTCGAACTCCCAGAGATCTGCCTGCCTCTGCCTCCTGAGTGCTGGGATTAAATAAAGGTGTGCGCCACCAATTCCCAGCTGGCTTCAAGCTCTTAATTGCTGAGCTGTCTCTCCAGCCCCAAGCCCTTTCTGGACATTCTTCCCCGATCACTCATTAGAAGTTGCATCACAATCCTGCTTGTTTTACAAATAGAAATTGTCCCTATCAGAATTCTTTTAGGGAAGCCATACTGCTTTATATTTTCACCTACATTGCTTTAAGGACTTCAAAATAAACATATCTCAAGACAGATGCATCAGCATCCCTGAAAACTTGATTGTATGGCTCCTTAGCTTGGTGAGTGTACCCAGGCTATCCTTTAACTGACTTAATCCTTCATTGGTTAAATATGGCCCGTATTGTACTAGATGGGTCCGAGGATAAAGTTGATGAAGATATACACATTCTGGGCTGGAGAGATGGCTCAGAGGTTAAGAGCACCGACTGCTCTTCCAGGGGTCCTGAGTTCAATTCCCAGCAACCACATGGTGGCTCACAACCATCCGTTATGAGATCTGGTGCCCTCTTCTGGTATGCAGATATACATGGAAGCAGAATGTTGTATACATAATAAATAAATAAAATATTAAAAAGATATACACATTCTAGTATAAAAGAACAATAAAACCTCAAGAGACCACTGAAGTCATTCTGGACTAAAACACCGCAGTAAGAATAAAGAGAAGGTGCACACTAATTAGCAACAATGGTTTATGGATGATTTTAAACAACAGAAGCCACATAAGCAGACAAAGGCAGGATGTGGGAGTCGATGCACAGAAGTGGGAGCAGTGAAAGCCAGGTGAGTGGGACGGGGGCGTGAGTTGAAGCTGTGACAAGCCTTCCAGACCTTGAATCTGGACAGTTCAGTCCAGTAGGTAGCCGCCGACAAGAGATTAGGAGACTTCAAGAGGGATCGGGGAGTCGTGGCAAGTAGTGATGGAAGGCAGCTGTGTAGATGGTGTTGGTCAGAGAACGTGCTGAGGCAGAAAAAACAGGGAAGGGTACAGAGAGGGTCAAGGGTGGGAACAATAGGCAGGATGTCAGGGT